CTTACTTCTGACACTCTTTCTACCCCACAGCTTCTATTTTGGGACAATACTTTTTCATCTTTGTAAAGAGTATATTTAAAGTAGCGACTTTGATAATTACATGATGTTTAAGCTTCTCGTCTACATTAAATAGTGGCTGTGTATTACTGTTGACTTTTTTTGGTAAATATACCTACAGATTGATTATGTAGCTGTCAAAAATATTATGCATTAACATGTAGAGTGCTGTACCAGTATCCATTTTATTCCTGCATTACTTCTACATACCCAATAACTTGGATTCCCTTTTGCAAACTAATAATTCTTACATTAAACATTCCTCACACACTTGCTCATTTCAGACACCAGTAAAAAATATATATATCTCCTGTATCCCTTAAAACACTTTACTAGCACTTAAACAGAATCAGCTACAATTAAACCAATCATTTGAACTGGTCATGATATTTGAGATCCGCTTACTGATGGGTTCTTTTTAGCAGAAGTTCTGCTCTCCACTGTCAAAGCATTAGCAGTAATTATATATTTGAGGAATATCTATAATAATCCTGAGCTATGTAATTATCGTATTGGACCCTGGGCTGGTTTGTTTGTGCAAGTCAAAACGAAAGAGACCTACAGGGCCAAATTCGGTGGTGGCAAACACACCAGAATTGCATGGGGGCAAGTCTCTACAGATTTTGGCTCAGAATGATGTTCTTTAACTTCAGCTCTGAAGATTCGTTTGTGGAAAACACTTGCATACGTTTCCGTTTTAAAATATTTTCTAATATTACATTGTGTTCTATCAGTCGGGTTATATTGTGTCACTTCAGACACATGAACCGATAGTACCTTACAGACATAACTTGACAGTGCCGCAATACCTCAAGTCAGGAACCTGACAATTTTTTTGTACTCTCCCCCTTTACCCACAATGATATTTACAGAGCCCTTAGGAATGTAGCATTGTTTTTCTGCTGCCCATATAGACACCAAGAAGTGTTTGCGTCAAGGCAGCTTTCCACTTACTAGGCAGCAAACTGATTATTAGACCCTGTGTGATGGTGACGGTGTCACCCTAAGGCTTGCATACTCCCCTGAAGCCTTCATTGCAACCCGTACCCTGAGGCTGGGAGAGCAATCTCCTCCAAAACAACAATACGGCTGGACAACTAGCTCTCAGGGATGCAAAAGCAAGGAGCACATTACAACTTCTACCTAAGAGGATGTGAGCTCTCTGCAATGCCCCAAGACTGCTGGAGGAATGAGGGACTTAAACAATTCCTGGTTTCCTACATGGATGCATGCAGCATTCATTAAACTATCACAGTGCCTTCTTATGCAGAAGAACTAGCTTTTTAAGATTAAAAATGACCCTGCAAAAAAAGAAAAAAAAGTCAATTGGGTATCTGATCTGCAACTTTGTTTTTTAACCTTCTAAAAATCCTAACAAAACAAAAACAAAAACAAAAACAGACCTGTCCCCAGAAGGAGACCTGCTTGCATTAATAGAACAGACCCATTTTCACTAACAAGGTCTTTTAAGACAAGCAATTGGTATAGCTAGTGATAGCCTCCATTTTAGTCCATTTATAACCTGTGCAGATCCAGCATCCTTTTTAACATTCACACCTGATCAGGCAACTGGAGCTCCATCCAAGTCAGGCAGAAAGAGAAAGGAAAGCATAAAATAACCTCTTCATAAAATAGTTTCCTCTCTTAATCTCGCCTTCTGTCCCTAATTCCTCTGACTTTTAACAGGCATAATTTCTCCACTAGCATAACTACACTATCAACAGTTTTGAAGATTCCCAGACATTACTACAGTTTGTTACTCTGATCTCCACATCAGGGGTTTCTTACTATTCTTCTTTTTAAGTACATCTCATTCTAATTTCCTCCTTACCTTCACCACCATCCCTATTATTTCCTTTTATATCGTCGTTCACGAGAGCTCCCGGAATGAGGGCTGTTGAGAACTGTCTGGATAATCAATGGTTCTAGTTTCACTTCCTTACACCACCATCATTCCAGCCCTGAGCTCCTTATGTTTAACGAGTCCGTCTGCAATACTTGAAAGAACCCAAATACCCCCATTAGCAAACCCTCTTTAGATCTCAGTCTTTCCTCACAGCTCACCTGCTTCTCTTACTTCTGCGGCAGAGGCAGCATCCTGCTGTTAACCCGTCAATCAGATTTAAACAGATATGGGTTGGCAGGCACCCTTTGGCAAAAAGTTAAGGGAGATTAAGACGTTGCCTAGATTATTATTATTACTGGAGGACTTTCATGCTGAAAGTAAAAAGGCAACCTTTTTCCCTCTAGTCAAACAAAATTTGCACTGTAACAATTTAAGTTTCAGGGATCGCCCATTGTAGCTTACCCACAAATATGAAATCAGATGGAAATACAAACCCTATCGCACATGAGCACTACCAGAAAAGAATTAACCTTCCTTAACTGTACTGACTTTATTACTTAGCCCCATGTATCATGGTGTGTGGAGCAATAGATGTGAGAGGTTTATTTTTCTTTTTTCTGAACATTTCGTACCTTTTACTTAACATTTAGATCAAGTTATCTCCCCTTTACTCCCCTCTCCACCCACCCGCCCACACACACCCCACACACAGACACTTTTGACTTTTATACACCCCATTACTAACACTGCATCAGTTTACTTCAGAGGACTCTGACAAACTAGAATACTATAAAGGCCTCTAAGTCCGCAGATGAATTTGGCATTCAGCTCCCTCCCCACACACCTCTCTGAGCCCCAGTGTGCATTTAACCTTCTAGCTGTTAGAGATTCGACCCCCTCCCACACAGGTGGAGCACACAAGCAGGCATATGATTTTTCCTCATTCCTCAAATGATTCCATTAAGGTATGTGTCAAGCAGGCTCTCACCTTGCAGGGGCAGATACTCCAAGATTGAGAGGGAAAGGACACTTCCCGCTGTCTCTTTTATTCTGGTAGTCACCTTTCCAAATTAAACCCCCCATCCACCAGGGAGAGCAGTTTTATGGTAATTTATACAGGCACATAACATATAGCATTCACTGCAACACTACCAATGTGAGGCTTTTCAGTTTGCAATGTAACTGAAGCTGGCATGATGGTGACAAGCTAATGCCACCTGACCTCATGGCCAGTGACACAGTTATATGCACCAAGATGTCATGCAGTTCTGAAATGGCAACAGGACTTTGATCATGATGACCGACAGCATATTCCCTCATCTGTGTCCTCAAAAGACAGTTACCTCTGTAACGCTCCTATTCCTGTACATAATATGACTGGCATAGCTTGGCGGGAGATGAAAGGGTGGGAAAGTGGTATCAGCAGATGAAGGAGATCAATTAAAAATATCAGTGTTGTGTTACCGCAATTTTCCCCAATAAGGATTTGGAGGAAAGGACCATTTTCTGAGCTGCACGGACTTCTTTCCCCAGGCGTTGCCTATGCCAATGAAGAGCGTATGAGATTACCTTTGCCTTGACCCAGTAGCCACCCATGTGCTCATCCCGAAGGCAGAGGCCACTATTTGAAAACACAGTTGTACAGAAAAAGGACAGCAAAATACTGCCAGAATCAGTGGTGTCCAGGCATATATATGTTCATTTCTGACAGGCAATCATGCTGACAATGAAACAGTCTTTTCAATTATGGAGAAAATGACACTAGAATAGAATGATTTTAAAAGAATAAAAAAAGTGAATATGATGAACTCTTATGGGGAAAACGGGAAGAAGCAATCGCCATGCATAACAGCAGGTGATCATGCTTTCAGTACTCACTGGTGCTTTGTAAATAAGTTTTAAAGATTGGGGTGGGGGATTCAAATGCCTCGGTAGGATAAAGCTAGCAAGAGTTTTTAAGTGTGTTGTTACATCAAGCCTGTAAGGATTGCTTTCAGCTCAACAAAAACCATTACCCCAGCACTCTGCAGCAAATAACCCTGGACTGCCAAATTTGACAGCTAAGACTGCAGACTAGTGGATGACAGAGGTCCGAGTTATCCTCTCCATTCGCCCGGGCCCCAAATTACAAAAACCACTTCCAACAGCACCTTATTTCTCGCTGTCTGTGCTTCGTCAGGATGCAGGAGGCTATTTTGGAGAGTTACCGCCAGTCTCTCTTTTCTCCAGCACTTCTTAATACTTTACACGCCAGAATTAATTTCCCTTTAAATTAGCTTACATAGTCTTTAAATCCTGCCTCCAACCCTGCCTCCCTCCCCGCTCCCAAGTGAGTCCAAATGAATTTCTAGCAAGTCTTGACAATAAGCACATGGTTGATCTAAACTTGCATGCAGTCAGCTCTCTCATTTCCACATACACACACCCCCTTTTCTTCCCAGCCTCATTTAAAAAGTAAATCCTTTCCCACAATAAGCCAAGGCGCCCTTTGTGAAGCAGTTTAGCAAAGCTGTGAGCTCTTAGTCATTAATAGCAGGTTTAGAGCCATAAAGGGGGAGGGAGCTGGGGAGGGGAGGGAGGTGCGTGAGGGTGGAATAGGCAAGAGGGTAAACACGACAATAGGAGATAACAGACAGTGGACATGCTGGGAGAATAGAAAATACTGAAACTAATGGATTTAAAGAGGCAGGAAACCTAATCCAGGCCAGAAAGATCTAATGAACAGAACATTCCGCTTGCTAATGAGAGCAAAAAATAACGTGAGTGGGGAAGAAATCGGTTCTCGTTAAAGAAGAGCTGGGGAAGTAAATATCCGACAAATCCGATGGAGTTTAGCGAGGCAATCATCCAAGCCCTACCTTAGACACCCCTCCACCCACCCACCACACACACACACACACACACACACACACCAGCCAGCATGCTCCGATTTGTACAGTAACAGTGACATGCACTTGCAGAAATGCCCCTGCTCCACACACACACAGAGCAGCTGTCTCCCTCCTCCTGCAGCTCGCGCTGCCTATCCGGCCGCAGCCAAGGGAGAGGACAGGAGCCGGGCGAGCGCGCTCTGGCACGATCTCGGCTTCCTACCTACCGTCCTCCTTGTCCAACACCATTGTCCCGGGGGTCGCGGGCAGCAGCTGCGTCCGCCGCTCCGTCTCTGGCGTCCTCTCTCCCTCCAGCCGCCGGCTCTGCTCCTTCGCTCCAGGGAGGGGAAAGGGACGGAGGACCGGAGAGTGTTTGCAAAGCGCTGCCGAGCGAAAAACGCACCCGGATCGTCCTCCCTGTTTTTCTCCCCCCCACCCCAGCCAGCTAGCTAGCTAGCTAGCTACAGTTGCACGACTTTTAACCTAGATTGCACTGAGCTAGAATTACATGCAGCAGCCGCACTGAAGAGCTTTGCTAGTGCAAAAGCAATCTCCCCTCAAATACCAGTTGAGAAATAAATAATAATTTTAAAAAGGTAAGGGAGGCAAAATCGAGGGCCGGTTCTCCAGCGCCTTCCCAACGAGCACAGTCAAAAATTTTGTTTTAATGTAATTGCATGTGATAGCTCACAACCCCCCTCTTTTGCTGTCGCTACTGCAGAGCTTTCCAGGCTTCCAAAGTGCTTTTCTCTTTATTTCACTCTAAATCTAAAATTATATTCAAAGGCAGGGAGGTGGGGGGGAGGAAAAATGCGAACCTATCACTGAACGCAAAAGCACTTGCTGCCTGCCTCTCTCCTCTCTCAATTTATGTGCTTTGCACTCTCTCTTGCTGCTGAATAAATGCACACATTTCCCAGGGACCCTCAGATTCCCCTGTTAATTAAATCAATTCATTATGCTCAGATCTGATTAGCGGCCCCTTCCCCCCCTCTTTGAATCAATTATTCAATACACAAACATAATTGCCTGTGCCAGAGGTGTCTAAGTATTAGCTTATTTAACTCCAAGGACACTAATTACCCCTAGGGCAAGGGAACTTTTCTCATTAATTCTGACAAAGCATAGTTAAAGAGAGTGTGTGTATATACGTGTGTGAGAGAGAAAATGCGGGAGTGTATAGCCAAGGAAAGGAGGCATTTAACACACGTGTTACTGTATAAATAAGCTCATTTTTCTTTCTACCTCTTACATTACATTCTTCCCCACATCTCCCCCTTGCTAAACTTTTTTTAAAGTAAAGCGCAGAACTGCATTGCAATGAATGTAGGTGGCATTGCTGGCTTGAAACGTGTTTGCAGCTACACATAAAAAAGGTGTAAAGGGTTGATATGGGGAGCAAAACAGAATTTGCAAACAGTTTTGTTTATCAACGCAGAAAACTGTGGATCAATCAATGTTCTGTATTTTAAAAAGCTCTGAAAGGAATAGTCCTATGAAAGCAGCAAATAAGATGGCACAATATAGCATGTACTGATAACAGTTCTGAATTGTTTACAATCTGAATTAATGTCAATGCCACTATTAATGTACTTGCTTCCTACGTTTTCCATAATGGGCTTGATTTCCATTAGCTGAAACTGGAACGCCGAAAGAGACTAGGCAGGACTAATACAAACTGAAATCAACAATCATTACACTGCCCATTAGAGACACAGGAGTTGTGGTTTGCAGATTACCCAAATTTTAATTCCATATGAATTTACATTTAAAAAAGTATTAATTGATTCCCCCAAAATCGGCTTTTACTTTCTAAAGACACTTATTGTTAGCGTCCTCAATTTGCACAGGGATATTGAAGATTTTCTTTTTGTTTCCCCAGGCAATGCCTGAGCTGATTCATTACTCCATTTGCCTATCTACACCTATCAGGAAACTAATATTAGTTCTGCTCATATACTAGGTTTTATTTAATTTTTTCCCAGTCTTGCCTTTTTTAAAAACTTTTGTTTGTTTCTATTAGTGGGACACAGACAATTTTTGGTATATCTGGAATGCCAAAAGATTTGTCTCCTGGGATTTCCTCCCATTTCCCAATTGCACATCATCACATTTACCCATGCTAGGACTGCCATGACTAAAGTCGCTCATTTGGCAATTCTAGGGCATTATCTTTACAGCACACCTTGTACATATCAAATAAAGTCAAGGTGAAAAACTGGTAAGTTTGTTGCCAACCAAGCTTAACTGAAGTATACTCATTACTTGCAAGCATAAATACAACTTGGAACATAATGTTGTGTTCCATTAGTGCAGCACATTTTTCCATGAGTATAATGATAAAAAAAAGCTTACAGCTTTGTAACACAACAAACCCTGCTAATTTTCTGGTCTTTAATTTCCAGTGCATGGCATATACTGCACCCACAGGAACTTGACCTGTCTAACTCAATGAATCTTTTTGGAAAGAACACAGCACAGCTCAAGAAATCCCAAACCTGGAGAAACCTATAGCATTCCCACACGTCTAAAATATGTTAAATTTTAAGGGCCCAATTGTGCTTTCACTGTAATCAATCGGATTTTTAACTGCGATGTCAGAAGAATCAAGAACTTACTATGCAGCAATTCCATTTTATTCTGAGCTTGTTATGGAGGTGCTAGAGTTTTGTCTAAGGATGCTCTTAACAAAGAGGCATTTGTTTGGATACGCTAAGCTGAAGGACACTATGGAGGATGCAAAGGGAGAAGCAGCGAGAAACTGAGTAAAGGGTCTAAACTGTGAAATGAATATTGATTTTGGTATCGCCTCTCTAGAAGTGATGTTCACAGTTGAATTCAGAAAGATTGTGGTCACTGGGGATGAGAAAGAGAAGAAGAGGCAACAGACAAATTGAAGTGGGGTCACACAACCAAAGCCAAACTACTATAAAACATAAACCATTAAATAATTCTCCATGCAAACATTTGACAGTTTAAATGTTATGCACTGATCCCTGCCTTTACATTTATGTGGGCTCTGAGGTGTGCAGGTTTAATAAAGATAGTAGGATTAACCCCCATGTAAAAGTCTCCACTTTAGGGAAATGCTTTTTACAACATAGTGGACCATTGTCCTATGTGTGCCTTTTGCAATTAAATATATTCAGACAATCCATTCAGAAAAGGAAACATTTGAATACTTATCTGAACCTCTGGAGTCTAAAAATATTAGACTGGAAATGTCATGCGAATGGCCTTCCTTAAGAATTTTCCCATACTATTATTATTATTAATTATTATTATTGTAGTAGCCCCAGTTTACTAGGTGCTATATAAACACACAGTTAGAGAGAGTTCCTATCCAAAGAATTTTCATTCTAAATAGATAGAACAGACAAAGAGTGGGAGGGGAAACAGGCCCAGAGAAGTGCAAGTGACTTGCCCAAGGGCACACTGCAGGTCAGTGGAAGAGCTGGGAATAGGAACCAGGTCTCCTGACTCTTAGTCCAATGCTGTAGCACTAGACTGTATTGCCTGCTTGCTCAAAACAGGACCAGACATGGTTAAAATGCCATTCAAGGCTTTTGAGTATGCACTATTGTTAATATTATAGTAGTACCTAAAGGCCCCAGGCAGGATTGGGGCTCCATTGTGGTGCAGGCTACATAAAAAACACATGTAAAAGTCCCTTCAGTGAAGAGCTTGCAGTGTAAACAGACAAGAGAGAGAAAGAGTGCCAGGGAAAAGAGAAGTACAGAAAGGAGCAGTGACTTGCCCAGGATCACGCACCAGCTGGGTGGGAAGCCAGGAGTACAGCCCAGATTTCCTGAGTCCCAAATTGATTCCCTGTTTATTAGATCACACGTTGCCTTTTCTTTTTTGGTCTGGCCACAAGTAGGAGAAAATGAAATGCCTCATAAAAATGATGGAGAATAGTAGATGAAGATTTCCTGGAGGGTAAAGACAGTGAACCTGTGTTGTATCCCAGCCAGGGGTGATTTGGACTGAAAGACCTCCACAAATTATCCTGTGCTTGAATGAGGCGGGGACCCAGTGGAGGAAAAAAGTATACAATCATGCAATTAACCATCATATCATAATGCATACTCAAAGTGGCAGAATTAGGGTTTCATTAGCCATCTTCATTTTGGCATTTGCTAACGTTTGAGTGCCTGAGTTGGCAACATTACATGGTGGTGTTTTAACTTTTTTTTTATTTAATTTCCTAAGTTTCAGATGCACAGCACAGACTCCTACTTTGAGTTAGATTTAACAGATTATTTCTGAAGCAGCATTGCTGAGTGAATGAGACTTGCATCTGCCATATTAGAGACCCAGGTTTTATTCCTAGCTACCTTAGGGCTTGTCTACACTTACAGCATTACAGTGGCACAGCTGTAGTGCTTAGTGAAGACACTACCTGTGACAATGGGAGAGCTTCTCCCATCAGCGTAGGTACTCCTCCACCTCCCTGAGAACTGGTAGCTATGTTGATGGGAGAAGCCCTACTGTTGACATAACCCTATCTACACCAAGAGTTCGGTCAGCTCAGGAGTGACGTAGTTATACCGACATAAGTTTGTAATGTAGACGAGGGCTTAGAAATGACCTTGTGCAACCTTTCAGTGACTATGTCTGTAAAATGGAGTATGTGTATGAAGCTTTCCTCGAACATAGGGGCCACAAAATGCACAAAATTAACACCGATCAGTAGTAGAGAGACTCACAGCAAAGTGCACCTTTCCCTATGTCAGAGCATATTTAGTGAGTGTAAACAGGAGGGAACCACTTTGTCTGATTGTCTGGAGGTTCATTAGGACCTGGATGCATGTAAAGTGCAAATGAAGTCTTCAGAAAATTAACAAGGAAACCTCACTACTTCTACTCCACATGTGTAAAAGTTGCTTTCCCAGGGAATTCTAACTCAGAAAAATCTAGATGGATTTTCATGGGGCCAGCAAAAGGTACCTTGCTGACCCTCGGACTATTTCCCCTGTCAAACTTCAAGTTCCTGCTCCAAATCATGGAGGCACTAAAACAAACAGCTACAAAAACAGCCAAGAGGGTTTTGAATCTTGGTAAAATTAGCTATTTTTCAGAAGCTGCTTCCTTAAATATAGTTGAATCATTTTAGATCAAAACTGGAAAATAATGACAATACCTACTCATGGCAGAGACCAAAAATATAAAAAAATCAACCCAAATAGTTGAAGTTTTCCGAAGTTCTAAGCTATCAAAAATTGGGGGTTATATGGGAAGTGCTAGGCAATCCTGGGATGGTGGTTGCTACTACTACTCCTATTAAAGGAATATTTTACAGAATATTTTTGCATCCTTTATTCCACAAATAAAAATATTAACCAAGGCCATTAACTTCAGGAGGGCTGCTTGAGGGTGCAAGAATCCACCCATTTGGAGCCAATTGCAGAATCAGGGCCTTCTTTTCTTTCCTACCTCCATTCCTCTACTGTACCATGGTGGTTTTTGGGGAGGTCAGGTAGGGAATTGTTTTTTGCTGTTTTGTCTTCTTCAGTGTCTGGCTTCTTTTAGTTTAATTTTACTGTTTAATCCAGGGCTTTGGAGCTGTGCTCCGGCTCCACTCCAGCTCCAGGCAAAAACCTGCAGCTCCACTGCTCCGGAGATGCTCTGCGCTCCAGCGCCCTGTTTAGTACTTTAACATAAAAGGCTGTGTTTGTAGATATATTTATGCAACTGAAATATAATTTCCAACTTAGGCCCTGATCTTGCGAACACTTGTGCATGTAAGTCACTTTGCGCACGTGAACAGTCACATTGAATTCAGCATTAGGACACAAGTGGCAGACCCTCAGTTGAGGCAGAGTGCCATAGCTCTTTGCAATATAAAACAGGCATTTTGTCCAT